AGGGATATGTAATACATAAGGAAATAACAAAGAAATACACGAGGATTGAGGACAAAATATAAAATGATAGAAAGAAATCTAAGAAAAACATAAAGTATTAAAACACATTTACGAAGGAATAAACCAGAAGAATGATTAATAATGATAATAGTAATAATAAATAATAACGGCTTAACAAAGATCTACATATGGTAAGAAATAAGGATAAAAAAAAAAAATGATTGATCGAATTGATAGCAAGAAAAACAAGGAATTAAACAAAGGGGGGTGATTGTGCAAGGGGGTAATTCTCCTTGAACCATAAGGAACAAGCGAAGGGAATACATACACATATTTATATTTCGAGAAAAGGTAAAACAAAGAAATAAAAAAACAGAAAAGATGATGAGGTAAAGATTAAAAAAAATGCACGCGCTTATAGTTTTCTCTCGAAGGTTCAATCATCACTACTATGATCACGTGATCTTACGGCGCGAACATGATATGTTTATACTAACTTCTGAGATAACCACATGCTGCCAGACACCTTGACTCCAAACCCATTGTTCAGAAACACTTGAAACACAATATGAAATGTACGCAAGCTCTCTTGTCATTTAAACATTCAATTCATTGGCGAAAAAATTAGAATTTCCGATTGATGAAGTTCTCTGCTTGTTTCGTCTGTCTATTTGATTTTATTTTTAGATTTACTCTTCTTCCTTTTCCCCTCCTTCCTTTTCTTTTCTTCTCCCCTCCACCCCCCCCCCCCTGCGTCGCCAATGATACAAGTTTGCTTTTAAAATTATCATTTATTTTATATCCGATTGCGAAGCAGCAAACCATAAATGAATTGAATGCAACATCAGGCAAATTAATTATAAATATTATTAGCGCGAATAAACGTTAGAGGGACTAGAACAGGAGCTATTATTGTAAAAATGTCCACAAAAATAAAACACAACTTCGCGAATGATAGTGATACGGGTCTGCTTTTAAAAATAAAATCTATATCATATTCTAATGCGAAGCAGCAAACCATGAATGAATCTAAAAGGTTGAAAGGTTTGTTTTAATTCTTAATCTTAAATTGACTAACTATCTCTTAACAAATAATTGCGAATGTTAATCAAAGCCAAAGGCTGGACATACGAGTACATAATGAAATGCATCATCTTGTACTTTGAGATCACATATGGAACACAATTCTACAATTTCTAGAGGCTGACTTTAGTGACGGTCAGGTGCAGACGGCAGGGCAGCTTACTATTACCACATCGATATTTATAAAGAGATGTTCTATCACTAAAATCCAACTTTAACATATATTCTTCCAAACCGATTACCTGTTTAAAAATTCTGTAATTGAAACATGAACTTCATGAACTTCATCGTTCCAGTTTTGCAAATCAATGTCATTTAATCTACGATCCAACTTTTTTTCTTCCTTTCCAACATCCTATTTTTTAACATCGCCATCGTACAAAGTAATTATAAATGATAAAAAGAAAAAGAGGTGTGAATGACCTAGTTTTCAATCTTCGGTTAAAAATGTCATTGAATGTTATCTTTGTTATTTACGATGTGTCAGCCGAGGGGAGCCAGCTCTCAACGCATGTGGCAGACATAATCCTACTGTTTATTTCTCAAAAGTAAATGTACGTAAATGTCTCCCTTATAGTATGATTTCGCTAGCCTGCGCTCCCATCAAACATTTTTCTCTCTCTCTCTCTCTCTCTCTCTCTCTATTACGTGTAGTCCCCCCCCCCCCCCCCCCCCTCGTGAAGATACTAGTGGGATTTCCTCTCGTCTCTCTTGCTCTCCAAATACGTAGGTCCATGCTCTCACCCTCTTCTTTGTCACATTTCTCCACTCATGAACGTTTTCGTCTAGTGTCGATGAATAAGGAGTGGAAGTAGAAAGGTGTACGGAAAATAGACTAACGTATTGGTGTCTTGCCTACTTATATTTAGTCAACCCTGTTAAGTAGATAATTATCCATTTTATTTGTTTTTTTTCCCATCCTGACCTCGATCATAACTCCTTTCCTTCTCGAATAATATCTTCATCTATCTCCAGCTCAACACTACCTCCCTCTCAATTATCTCTCTCTCTCCTACATGTTTTCCTGTTAATTCAACTCTGGTCTAATCCACACTCGAAGACAGTTACAGTAATTGATCCATGCCATTTTTACAGATTTTATTATTTATCAATCATCCAATGCCGTCGACTGAAAATGTTTATTTACGCGTGTTTTGGTAACCTTGGTTACTAGTCCACCTGGCAACTTTTACGCGTGACCAGTAGGCAAGAATGTCCATGATTGGACGTTTTCTTTTTTAGGGGTGGAGACCCTTCTTACGGCAGTCTTGTCAGTGATACTGATAGGGCAAATGAAAGAATCTGATCGCGTGCGTGTTTTCTGAAGCGACGATCTTGGGAATATTTTTATTTTATTTGGTGGAGGTTGAATTGAATTGAATTGAATTTATTCACCACTTTTGAGATACGCATATCTGGAGTAGGCGAACAGAAAATATGGCAGTGAAAATGAAAGGTATTGTGCTCACAATTATAATTTCAATGAATGCAAATCATGCAAGTTTTTGCAACTAGTTAGATCTACTCGTTGCTCCACCGCATCAGTACCCGATGCTTATCCGCGCCCAGTGTCAGTGATTTAGCGACGGCTTTTACTAGTATTTAACTGTGTGTAATGTTTACTCGTGAATACTTTCTATTGTGACGTAAACAAAGACACATACGGAACTGCGCGTACAAATCATACATAACAAGACTTAGCGCGCGCGATGAGCAAAGACATGCGCTTGCAGAGGACATGACTAGTTGCAAATACGCGCACCATGAAACACGATAGACTATCGGGGGATTAGGCGGGTTACACGCATCCCCCGATAGAGGAAATCATTCACTAGTGTGCAAATTATCGTGATTTTTATCGTGATTCTATCAGTATTTCATCGATATTTTATCGTGATTTAATCGTGAAATACCCATCGGGGAAAACCCGCCCCGCAAAAACATGCCCAATAACTTCTGGGCGGTATTGTATACATATACATGTACATGTACTGTACATGCGTGAGAGAAATACATTGTGTCATTTTGAAATATGGGACCATCACCTCAGTTTTAAACTTAAATTTCTGTCGTTAAAGCCTTTAAATCTGAGTCAGTGCTATAACCCTATGGTCAATGATGCTAGTAATTGCAGGTCGTTTAGGAATAAATATGTCTATTTTTCATCTCTCCAATGAGGTAATTATAGCTACACTAATATTGGTCAAATCGGTAATTGCTCTGTACACTGCAAATGCGTTCACGATTGGGAACTGCTTAGAGTTTGCTAGCGTTTGGTTAAACCATAACCAATCTGCTAATGCCATTTGAGCAGTAATTTGCTTTAAAAAATAGTTGCCAGTCTGTGTGTACATGTAGGCAAGGGGAGAGAACAAGGAACGACAGCTGAGCTTCTGCAGAATCTTCCAAGGAGAGATAGGTCATTAAGCAAGTGCAGGAGTCATATTTATACAGGGAAATGTACATGTTATTTACATTATTAGCAGGTAGCAACTACATGTACTTTTAGTTGAAAAACTGAACAAAACAAAACAAACGTGTAGACAAAAAAAATGACAACAAAAAGCGCATAGAGACATATTTTGTATAATTAATGCGCTATAGATATATATATTATTATTATTATTATTATTATTATCAGAAGTACATTACAGTTGAAGGTCTATAAATATGTCTAAAAAAGTGATAAGATGTTTATCCTTCTCTACAACTCATTCATTTGCCAAATTAACAAAGTTTAGAAATCACACACAAATGCATTATATGCAACCTTTGTGCAATAGAAATGGCCCTTAGTCAATAATTTTATCTTTGACTATTAATTTTCAAACTATGCAGGTTTGAATTAATGTCAAAGATAGATTTGCTTTTTAAGTTGAGAACCCTGCATTGACTGTTCCATATGCAAAGCAGTGCGAGTGTCTCACGGTTCAATGTATCGTCCAGTGTCTTAGTGGTACATGATGCGAAAGACTTGGGCATACTGTACATACAGTGTTATGAATCAACTGATTATAATAATTACCATGACTCTCTGAGATGACTAAGTCTATCGTGACGTGACTGCCGATTCTGATATAAAACCGAATGTGCTTATTTCATTCATTTTTGTGTGTGGACGTGACTGAGGTTGTGGAACAATCATTGGCCTGGTGATATTTGAGTGTTATTGTGTAAGAGTATTATTAGGACGGGGACGGTACATTGTGCAAGGTGAAGTTTTGTTCCAATGATTAAGTCTAACCCACAGTCAGAAGCTGACTATAATCGTCCCATTTCCCTTTTGTTATGGTTGTATTAAAGTCATTGACCACTTGATCCTACAGTTGAGAGAAGAATAGCAGGATTTATTCTGCTGGTCCTTTTGTGTGTGTTAGGGGCTGAGTGGGTGGAGGGGGTGGGGGGGGGGGGTGTGATGAAGTATAGCAACATGGAGGATTGACGTTTAGGGTGCAATGAAATACTAGGTAAAACCATTATGAATATTGATGTTCACTGTTTGATGAGAGAGGTGTGTAGCAGAGATTGAATGTACATGTAATTTAAGGAAACAGTTGGGAAATGAAGATGTTTAGGTAAATAAGAATGAATCGAAGAAGGCAAGAAAGAAAATAGGAGACAGGAAATTTAGATATTTTATGACTTTTATCCGTTTTATTGCTGGATGGATGATGAAAGAAAAGAATAAAGTACATGTACATTGTATGTGCAACATGGTAAAGATAGAAGAAGAAAGAGAGAGAGAGAGAGAGAGAGAGAGAGGGAGAAAGAGGAGCGGGGGAGGGGGGGGGGGGGGTAACTTAAGGAAGGGGTGATGGTATAACTAGAACAAGGCTTCTATCAGTTTATTTCCGTTTTCCATTGTAGTTGATCTAATCACTCTTTTCCACTTCCTCTTCGTCCCCCTCCTCCTACAGACCTACTCTGGACTGTTCTGCGTGGTCGTTAACCCCTACAAGAGGCTACCCATCTACCATGAAAAGGTCATTGAACTGTACAAGGGAAAGAAGCGTCATGAAGTACCCCCTCATGTCTATGCCATCACAGACACTGCCTACAGGAGCATGCTTCAAGGTTTGTACACAGTTTGTATTTATATGAAGAACATCGTTGGTTAGTCTGACAGTGCCAGGAAACAGAAGGGCATTTTATCATTTTACCGGTACTTTGAGTTCACTCCATTCTGGCGATCGGCAGACAAAGTATTACAAAATTAGCTCCAAGAAATTTGAAGTCTGAGTTTCCTTTAGTGAGGCATTTATCTTCAATGATCAAGTCCCTTTGACAAGACTAAAACTCTACATTTATATGTATATTGATTACTTTTGATTACTTATCAACAAATGCAAGTATACAGTTAATGTTAAAATCATCACTAAGACTTCATACATACTGTTGTTAATTCTGCAGAATGATTGTGCTTGGAAAGGGAAATTATAGGTATAGGGCCTCCCTGATAAATACCTACACAATCCTCCAATACTTGAGTTGGGTAGATTGGGAAGCCTTGATCACCGTTGAGCTGCAAGCCACAAATCAAAGACATCCTTAAACATTGAAGGGAAGGGGCCCCCATATGAAAACCAAAAACACTTAGCAGATCGGTGATGCCCCTGGGACAAAAAATATTAAAAATAATCCCCTGAGTAATCCTTTGTCATATCATTAGGAGCTGGAAAGATGATAATTCCTAGTTCTGAACTACTTAAATACAGACATCACCAATGAGTTTGGTGAGAAGGAGGGGTATACTATATTAGAATAAATAGTTGCATGTCACTGTATTAAAGTGAGCATTAATCTGAGAGACGTGTTCCCACACTAGATTGATATTCAAAGTTGGATACCTCTCACAATACAATAACAAAATATACAATAATTAGAAACAATCTCCAGTTAACCACTGAATTATTCCTACTACTACTACTACTACTCAATTTGATTTTGTTTTCGTAACTCAAGAATGAAAGATGGACCAGTTGGATTAGGTCCATTGTTGAATGTTTTGAGATGTGAGGTTATGTCACATTCTAAAGGAACATAAATTGGGACAAATCAATTTTTTACAAACTATTTTTTTTGTTTACAAAACTTGATAAGGGTATGAATAATTCCGTAGTTAATCGTATCTTATGCAATACATCTAGCTCCATTGTCTTTGTATTCAAATCTTCGTCCTTCCATCCTTCCAGCCTGAAGAGATCATGCCACAACATTTGCAAATTGGCACACACATTATTCAAGGCTTTTTAGTTCTGATTCAAAACCAATGGTTAACCTCACGACACAAAACTTACCCCCACACAGACGAGAATATAATTGATTGAGGGAGTTAGGAGCCACCCACCTGCTCTGTCTGTATGTGATACTGAAACTAGTTTATGTATCATAGCATTATCATTGGCTTCCATTATAGCATTCAAGATCCTATGATTATATTGAAAGCTAATTACCAGAAGAAACAGATCACTAACCAAAGACATTTGTGGAGTATATATGGACACCTTCATCATGTTATGAATGGTACAGGAAGTTGATTATGAACCTAACATGAAGGTATGCATTCTACATGTGCTGAGTTAGTACAAAATACTCTATGGACTGACTGACAGCCAGTAGGTATTGTACCAAAATAACTTAAAGCCTATATAATCATTAACATGCTTTTTTACAAAAAAAATTGCTACATGTAAGAATTGAAAGAACATGATAATGATATAAACAAATTCATTAGAAAATGCACAGGAACAGTAAACCACCTGTCAGAAATTCAGGCTTAAAGATGTCAGTGTATTTTAATCTGTGGAGACAATGATTCATTGTACAAGTGACATACACTGTACTTTCCTTTAATACTGTTGAGTGATGACCCATATTTTCACACAGGTTGTTTTAGACTTTCCTTGAAATGCTTGAATCCTTCATTAGTTTTTTTTCCACCCAATTTCATTTTTTTATCAGTGCACCTGTATTTAACGCATTGAAATGAAAGCAGTAAAATATGCTGGGTTTGAGTAAATAATGTTTTATTAATTCACAGAATTTAGTTAATTAATATACATGTACAACGTGTACATGTAGCCCAACCCACTACCAACAGTGTGTTCCACAAGTAACTTCTTCTTTATTTGACGAATGAAAAGAAATTTATCCGAGCAAGAATGTAAGGAGTGACACCAACATATTTGTAAAACCCTCATGCTCGTAAAAGAAGCGCTGCGTCATAAACCATTCAATTTGGTCTAGCCATGGGCACTGCAAACAATAAATGCAAGGGTACGTGCTATTTGTACCGAAAGAAAATAAATGTTATTTTGGTAAACTTTAAATCAAGCCCTTTTGGTGACAGGGTTGGGCAAATCTATTGTGTTATGAAACCCAAGGTGCTGTGTTCCCTTCATGGGATTCAATCTTGAATATCTATCTGTGAGGAAGAAGAAAAAACGGCAAAGTCCAGTTTCATTGATGACGTGCCATAGTTGGTAAAAAAGGGCACTGGGGCTGATGACAATTGATATTAAATAAAAGTTAGAAAAATACACAAACATGTACATGTAAATGAGATTGTGAAGACCTTAGAAGAATAATACCAAATTGATCTCACGTTTTTCTATTGAAGTCATTTCCACAGAGCTCATTCAGTTTCAGATATCAAAACAACTGATGGCAATTAAAATTTCTCAGATATTATCTGTATTAATTTTAGTGTTAAATATGCAGTAATTGATTCAGAATGTATTATTCTAACATCCTACACATACTTTACACGCATGTGTACTGTAGGTTACATACATGTACAGGGAATGTAATACAGAATTAGAATTAAGTATCGTCTACTGTACATGACTGTATTTCAATTTATTGTTGTGTGCGTATATACACCGACTACACACCTGGTTATTCTACATTATGATTAGAAATGTACATTTTTAATCTTCAAACAGACATACATCATACACTGCTCTACTGCTATATTATGCAGTCAAGCCATACAAGATGGACCCGGCCGGCTGGTCGGTGTAATCTTGTCAGGGTGGCTAGTGCTTCAGCTGTAATCGTGTTGAACTTGATTGGTTTAACACTCTCTTTATATTTGCATCCACTGACACGGTATATTAGAGGATGAAGAGCGTTGCCTAATTCGCTCCACTCTAGAGATGTGTTGTTACCCCCTTGAAACGCGATTATATAGGGTACCTCCAGGAAAGATGAGGGTGGGGTGGGGCCAGGTTAAGGGTAGGGGTAGTAGTACACTAAAGACGGTTCTTTGTTAGGGGAGTTTTAGGAAGACTGTCAGGTACTTATAGCAGTCTTTATATATATTACAGGCCTATAGATAAAATTTGGTAAGTTGCCCAGTTAACAGTTGCTAAAACATGTTAATAAAGAAAGCTGTAATGTTCCTGCAATGTTGTAGATTGGCAGATAGGTGAGCAGTCATGAAGTAAAAAAGAACAGGATATTGTATTTTGCCTAAATACTATCAGTTGCCACAGGAAGAGTTTATGACAGTTGTGAACAAAAGTTTTAACAGGATTTGGGGCGAATCTAAGGCGAAGCTTAGGCTACAGTGTAAAAAGTACAAGGAAGAAGATAACAAAAACTAATTTAGGTAACTAGGGTTATAACTTATTTAAAAATAGAAGGCTCACGTTGAAAGATGAGTTTACATTGTGTGAAGAGCTATGATGGACATGAGGATTGCTGACAGAGTCTTGTAGAGTGCTTCACATATGGTATAGACATCAATGAATGTCTTGGAAGACCATCTTGTTATGATGCTATCCTTCATCTCTCATCTCCTCTTTCATTTCTTTGTGAGATTGAGAATGCGTGGGTCATCTCGTGCCCTGCATTTATATTGTAGACCATTCAGCTTGAGTATTAAGCCTATACAGTTTCAGATGTTTTAATAAACATAATGGATGATTGCTGTAAAATGTGCACATTATTGTATCTTGGCTATTACTGGTAAGAATAAAGAAAATGTAAAAATGTAAACCATTGTGTTCAGGAAAGGATGTACCGGTAAATAGCTTTGCATGATTGCCTCATTGAGTTTTAGTTTGAACTAACTTGAACACTATTACAAGTTTGACATCATTATAATATAAACAAAAAAAAAATCAGATATGGGTGTACATTAAGGGTTAATCTAGTTACGTAACAAGCAATTCCATGAATGCATCTCGCTTTCAGTAGGCATGAATGCAGTTTCTTATAGCACCAACTGGAGCTTGACAGGTGTACTTGGAAACTTGATGGCACCGCTGTGGCAATATTTCAAAGAATAAGATAGATAGCTTGATAATAAACTCTCTAATGACATTAGCCACACTGGACAATAAATGCTGGTATGGTGTCCTTCAAGAAATCATCATAAACAAAAAACTTGTCTGTCCAGTGAACATTGCAGCCTGACTGACCAACCTAACATGCTGAGCGGTCCCAGTACAAACTGACCTCTCAGACCATGATTTATTTTGAAATCATCCAGCATGAAATATGAAAGAATTGATTTTAGTGCCTGGGAGATTCTGACTCCCAGACCCAGGGCTAAAGATATTTTTATAGGTGTCAAGAGGTATGGTTGAGTGACTTTGGGTTTGTCAGAGAAATTTTGATCCTATAGAATCTGGTCAATGATGGTAGGGAAATAAATCAAATATTTGCTAGCCTAGTGCATTGATGGTAAATTTTTATTGACATTTAAAAGCTTAAAAGGGTTTTTATCCATTTATGGTATTTTGCTCTTTATAAAGACATGGAATGGGTTTAGATTTTAACTATTTTGTGATTTAGATAATGATTTTAGGGGTCTCAAATGAATTGAGAGTTGAGAGTTGGCAAGCTATCTCTGACACTTGATGTATTGAGATCTTCATGAGGTCTCATGGGCAAAGCCCTTCTTGATATTGAAAAGCTGAAGCACTTGACATGCAGACCTATGCTGAGTTGTAATGACTGAGCCTGGTAGATCAGATGATGCTAAGCACCTCCACTTCCAGATTTCTCCTCCAATTAGGAGAGGAGCACATCACTGTGCTAAACGTGATCTCCCCTATGGCTACCTC